GAACACCATTCAACATATTCCCAAACAAAACAGGTCATAGATATAAAACAAAATAACTCCAATCATTCTGTTACCATACTTGGACTGTGTCAGATGTAAAAGTGCTGTTATGTAATATTTGATGAGATAAACCTGTGGTTCCTGGACGCCCCTCAACCCCAGTCACATAACCTGCTAGAGGGATCACTGTGTGCTGGGTCAGCTCACACACACACACACACACATGTACAGTCCAGTCCAGTTTACAGTAACCCTTCCTTCCCTTTCTCTGCTTGCTAGGTCCAGGCCACAGTAGTAGGGTTCCTGGCGTCCATCGCTGCGGTGATCTTTGGCTGGATCCCAGAGGGGAACTTTAGACTGGGACATGCTATCTTGCTGTGTGCCTCCAGTGTGGCTACCGCATTCATCGCCTCTCTGATACTAGGTACCATTAGGAGGATAGGAGACAATAATCAATAATACTGATTCACTTTTTTCAGACTGTAATTATTCATATGCACATGGTAACCCTAGATACGATTTAACAACGGAAAATTGATCATATATGCTACAAATTCCATAAAGCTGATTATGATTGGTGGGTTTAACATTAAGCCCCTCCTTCTGTCTGCAGGGATCATTATGATTGGTGTGATCATTGCGGCCAGGAAGGTGGGCATCAACCCTGACAACGTGGCCACGCCCATCGCTGCCAGTCTGGGAGACCTGATCACCCTCTCTCTGCTGGCTGGCATCAGCACAGGATTGTACAAGGAGCTAGGTACGACACACACACACATACATATACACACACGTAAGATACAGAAACACACACACACTTGTGATCTCAGAATTGATGTATGATTTAGTGCATAGTGTCTCTATGCTTGAGATAAAGATACAGACACACTCAAACACACACTCAAACACACTCATCACAAACAGCCACTTTACGTTACACTTATCTGTCTCACCCCAGGGTGTGAGTGTGGCAGTAAAAGTCCCAATAGAAACACTTTAACTCACCCCTTAACTGCTAGACTCTTAAAGTAAGGACCTTATTTTAACATAGGCCTACTTGAGATTTGACTCCACCGCTAACCTCACAGTGGTAGGAGATGTGTGTATGTCTGACTGTGTGATTCCACAGCTATGCTGTCTATTGTTAGCTCAGTGATCGTGTTTTCACCATCACCACACCCTGCGGCATGTGATTCAGAATAACGTGTTTTTTTATTGCCCCCCACCACACATAAATACATGGAAACACTCACGATTTCCCATTCACACCCAGTCCGAGTTTCTATATTGAACTGATGAAGTGTGTGTTATATAGCGTAACGATAATGCTAACCCCTGTGTGTGTGTTCTCTTATAGAGTTCAACGACTATGCCAACCCGTTGGTGTGTGCTGTGTTTGTGGCACTGACCCCTCTGTGGGTGCTGATCGCTCGGAGGATCCCCTCCACAAGAGAGGTGCTCTACTCAGGCTGGGAACCTGTCATCATCGCCATGGCAATCAGCAGGTACAAGACCTATGTCAATCCGCTCTCTCACCTGTGTCTCTCATTTGTCTCACCTCCGTCTCTCCTCTCTCTGTGCCTAACTTTCCTTTCACCTGTGTCACGGTTCTCTAACGTGTCTCACCTACCTCTCATATGTGTCACTGTTCTCTAACCTGCCTCACCCTCCTCTTCTGTCTCACCTGTGTCTGTTCTGTGTCTCACCTCCCCTCCTCTGTGCTCTCCTTAGTGTTGGGGGTCTGATCCTAGATAAGACTGTGTCCAACCCCAACTTTGCTGGTATGGCTGTCTTCACTCCTGTTATCAATGGTGAGACTCCTGGCATTGAAATACCCAGTACATAACCACTCATACACAACCACTGATACAAAACCACTCGTACACAATGCCTGTCTGTCTCATACGTGTACTGTGATGTGCTCTGCCAGGTGTGGGAGGTAACCTGGTAGCAGTGCAGGCCAGTAGAATCTCCACCTATCTGCACATGAACGGTATCCCAATGGGAGACCCTGACCCCAACCCCAGGAAATGCCCCACTCCCTGCACCTCCTTCTTTAGCTCCAGTGAGTATTGATTCGTTTTATGTTAAGGTTCAATGTTTACTGATGCAGGATTGTTAGCAAAACTGTGGTTTGTTGAGTGATATTATGTAAACACGTCTTTCGTACCCCTCTCTCTCTCTCTATCTCTCTCTCTACATTTCTCTCTCTACATCTCTCTCTCAGATGTGAACTCTCGTTCGGCGCGGGTGCTCTTCCTCCTGGTTGCTCCAGGTCATCTGGTCTTCCTCTACACCATCAACTCCATGCAGGGAGGACACACCACTCTAACATCCACATTTATTGCCTTCTACATGGCAGCTGCACTACTGCAGGTACACACACACACACACACACACACACACACACACACACACACACACACACACACACACACACACACACACACACACACACCCTCACCACTCTCCTTCTCTGTCTCTAGGTATTGATCCTGTTGTACCTGGCTGACTGGATGGTCCATTGGATGTGGAGTAGGGGAATGAACCCTGATAACTTCTCTATTCCCTACCTGACGGCCCTGGGAGATCTGCTGGGGACCGGCTTCCTGGCCCTCTGCTTCCATGTCCTCTGGCTCATTGGAGACAGAGACACCGACGTGGGAGACTAAGCATACACACAGCTGGACAGTATACATACACGGCATCAACGCCGGATCACCGGAAACAACCTGAACAACTGAACTGTACAGTATCTCCCTCTAGACATCTGAACCACAGAACAGCTGAATGACTTTCAGACCCAGACCAAACCCCCCTCCCCTCCCTGGGTCGCAGACTACGCTTCTCTTTCTTTATTTGACTAAATAAGAGAGTTCTACTACTATTATTTTTTTTTATTATTACTATGACAACGATTATGATTATTATTGGTAATAGTGAATTTGATATGAATCTATATCTGTTTTATCATTGGGCAGATTAATCCTCATTATTTTCAATGGGGACATTCTCCCTTGGGCCAGTCACGTTGGCCGCATTTGTAAAGATGAGATACATTTTAAAGACTTGAAATGAAGACAGACAGCAAAAAAACTCACACAAGCCTAGAATACTTAATCACCAAGTGCTATATGTATAAAGAGATTAATTAATTATGAGATATGGGGCCGATTCCGACCCGAGTTAAGCGCGAGTAAATGGAACGTAATTCCCTTTTAATGCACTTTTCTCGCTATGTGTATTCTGACCTTGAACTTAAGCATGAGAATAGCATGATATTCACCCGCTATTCGTTCAGGGTGGAGATCTAAGAAATGAAGGTGTGGTGGAGGTGTGTCTACACCGTATTCTGACCTTGACTTAATTCCCTCATAATTCCACCACCTTTACACGCAAGGAAACCAGGAATAAGGTTGAGCGAACCTGCCGGTTCCAAGTGGAAAAAGCATCTACTTTCTTTTTACCAATAGAAATAACAGCATTCTCCATGCACTATAATTTATAAATTGATAAGAGCTATTGATAGGAGCTAGGTAAATGAGTAGGGGATTGTAAATACACATAGCAATTGTTTTAGATGATTTTTCCTTATGATCCCTGGAGACGAATGTGAAACCAGTTATGGAAGCAAACTGAAAATCATATCAACATGACATGTATTGTGGCCCCCTTTTTTTACGGTGAAGTAGGCTATAAGTAGCTGTGCCATTATTCCAAATTTGAATTGTGTGCCCTCATAATTTGCGTAGATGAAATGTGGAGACCCAAGCTATAGGCTTCTGATCCTGCCCGGTTGATGTATGCGCTTTAGAACTTTTTAATTATACGCTCGGGCTTTTCTCCTTCATATTAAATATTAGCCACTATCGGGAGCCACCGTCAGTAATACCCACATACATTTATGACTGTCACTTTAGTGTTCGTTTTCTTCAATTTGTAGCTTACATTTTTTATCATTCCATTCCGTTTCCCTTTCTTTCCTCTGTCACGTCCGTGAAGTTGTTCCTGAGGGTCGTAATCATTAGTGGATCATATTAGGCTAACGTTGTGCAATAATTTCGGACATGGAGCCTATTTTAATCATTATGGAACTCAGAGCACACGTAGCAGGTTAAACCTGGAGTATGGCACACGGTTCACGACGACTGGACCGTTGTCATACAGTTCCATGATTAGTGGGGATTAGGGTAAATGTATAGGACTATTGTTTAACCCTTATTGTACACTTTTTCCACCTTCCAATATTTAATGGATTGAACTTGATTCAGGATAAATCAAACCACTGTATTTTTGATTCATCAATATATTTAGTGTGTAAAGGCTCTCCAAACCAGTTATTTTTTAATGATTCATACATACTTTCTTAACCCTAAAATGTGCCTAAATAATCGACATGATCACAGTATTTTTAAATCTACGAGTTGGTGCTGAAAAGGAGACAAATATGCATATATTTAGATTACTTTCTTTCATTGATCCCTATATTCTGAACCCATTCTTTCGATGTATTCTAATGAGTCGGTTGACAAAATTCAAATTAAAGGTACACCGTATTTAAAGGGATGGCTTAAGACAAATGTACTGAAAACCCTATTGATTGAAAACTCCACAAGAAAATCTGTTGGCCAGCTAGCGGGAGGGTTTTTAGCAGTTTAATTAAATGTATTCAGCATGTGCAAGGGAACCACGCCTGCAAAGCCCGTTACGCACCTGCATAAGGTAAGTCTGAAAACCAACTACTGAGATGTGCGTAGGAAAGGCGCGGGTAGCAAAGGCATATATTTCCTAAGTCGGAATCGGCCCCTATGTGAATAATGTTTGATGAAGGAGAGTGCACAGGGCCTTAAATGACTCTCCCAATTTGCCTTGCCTTTATCGTAGTGATTCAGTGGGGGCAGCTGCACAGGGACCCGGACCAGAATGTATAGACCTGAATCCGCTTAGGTAACAACCTTCCAACCCAATCAGTGGACGTCTGAACACTAACCTGAACAGAAACAGGAAGTGTTAACAGTTCTGGGTAGAAGTTGCCCTTTAAGCACAGCTCTAGGATCGGCTTACCCACCCCTAATCCTAACCTGAACCATTGGGGAGAGATGAAAACATACCTGACCCTATATCAGTGGTGAGAGGCAACTTCAAACTATTCTGTGGACAGAGGTCACTAAGGTCGTGCCAGATCGTAAGGTCAGGTGCCAGGGACCTCTATACACATCATGTTTCACACACAGTTGGAGGGTTGTTTCTTGAATTAAAGTCAGCCCAATTCTTGCCAACCATGTCCTTAGTGGTTCCTGAGGCAGAAGAGCGCCACTACAATGTGTCAACACTTCCTTGTTCTCCCCTAAATCCTCCTAAAGGGCTACGATTGTGAAATATCTTAAATTAGATTGTTGTTTCTTCTTTGTTAACGGTTTTTGTACGCAAACACTTAGAGACAGAAAATTAGGCTTTGTTTGTCCGGCCTGCCTCCGTTTCTGGCAGGATGACGGTTACGCACACAAATAGCCGCAGAAAGTAGTTGTGCTGAGGGTGCTGCAGCACCCCCGGATAAATCAGAGAAATCAAAAATAATATTTAAAAAAACGTATTTTGTTTTTCTTGTCCCCCCCCCCCCCCCCCGTCGACAGCACCCCACACCTCAAAACATCTTTCTGCGGCCATGCGCACATACACACAGCTCTGCTGATCACTGGGTTCACCGAGGTTAGAGTAGCCTTACTGGGAGGCCAGAGAGAGACCAGAGAGGGTAGAGACAGCTCTTATTGAGACAGAGGCCATTCTAGGTGAAATCTGCTCTCCAAATCAAATCAAATTTTGTTTTTTGTTTTCCAGCACAAGGAATTTGGAGAATCTGTAAAAAACGTGGCTTTACTTGTTTGGTGTGTTCTGATTGGAAGGCTTAACTGGAATTCAATGGTTAGTGAGGAAAGACAGGATGTCAACTGATGTGAGATGAACGTTATCAGAAATTGCAGTTTGTTGAGGGATGAATTGTCAAGCCAATATTCCCACCGTTAGGGATATCATGTAACAACATCTCATGTCTCTCTCTCTCTCTCTCTCTCTCTCTCTCTCTCTCTCTCACACTCTCGCTCTCTCTCTATTAGGGATATAATGTACTAAAATCTCATGTCTCTCTCTCTCGCTCTCTCTCTGTTAGGGATATCATGTACTAAAATCTCATGTCTCTCTCTCTCGCTCTCTCTCTGTTAGGGATATCATGTACTAACATCTCATGTCTCTCTCTCTCGCTCTCTCTCTGTTAGGGATATCATGTAACAAAATCTCATGTCTCGCTCTCTCGCTCTCTCTCGCTCTCTCACTCTCTCTCTCTCTCTTTTAGGGATATCATTTAACAAAATCTCATGTCTCTCGCTCCCTCTCTCTTTATGTCTCTTTCTCATGGTACAAACAACGTCAAACACAATGTGCAGCTGACCTACAATATCTGCCAGCTAGACGCCATGCTTCAAAATGGTCTCTTATCCTACCATCATCTACCTACTGTCAGTATAGACACTCAAATTCTCTAAGCAGCAGAGCCCAGCTTGATGGTCAAATTCATGTGTTATCATCTAATGCTTTGTTATCTGTTGCTTGTTAGATTTCTATGTTTTTTTAAGGGGCCAGCAGAATGCATGTGCAGACCACATAATATGAATATGCAAAATGTGTGCTTTATGAATTAAGTTTCCTTCTCTTTAAAATATCATGTTTTCCTGCTTAGGTTTGTGACCCATTTTACAAAGTGGACATTGAGTCTGTTGTTAGATTTTTCTTTAACTTCATTATTTTTCCTAATCCTTCTGTGATCTTATGTGTTGGTCATAGAGAATGATTATGTCATGTCTATGATTGAGGCAGCCCAAGTGGAGTATAGCGTCATTGTGTGGAAAGTACTGTAGTATACACACAGGCACCAGAGGGCGACATTGTCATATGAGTGAATATGAGACAGTGCTGATCGCCTCTGTTCACTATTCCCTTCATCTAGATTCTAGAACCTGTATCCAAGATTCTGATCAAGGACCTATGTTTTCTAGATTCTATAACTTTTATTTTCTTGTTTCTAGAACCTGGGTGTTCTAGAACCTTTATCCTTGGTTGTAGAATCTATACCTTCTTAATTCTAGAACGTCCTCTGGATTCTTGAAGCAGAACCCTGGATCTAGAACCTGGGTTCTCTTTGCTGTCTTACTGAACCTGTGCCAGCGTTGTGCCCCAGCACGGGTCAGAGGTTGTGAATACTTCTTCAGGGGGGAAGGAATGCTTTGTCTATTTATTTTTAGATGCATACAAAGCAAATTGTACATACTATATTTATTCTATAAATAATGTGTTTATTTTTCATTTCATTTTGTCTCAGTTCGCTGTTTTTGTTTTTGTAATTGTTTATCTCATTTTCTTTCTTTTCTTTTTTTGTTAATAATTTTTTCTTGCCTCGGGCCAGTAGAGCTTTAGCGCTAACCGCGGTAGATTAGCGGCTAAGTTAACGAACAGAACAGCGTGGTGCCTAATATCTCATGAACCTCACACACCTCACACCCCCTGCCCTCGGGCAGGGGACCAAACATAGGAGGCCTTAACCAATCAAGAGCCAAGCTCAATACATAATAACAAATCAGGAGCCAGGCTCACCACAGAGTAGCATCTCTTTAATTAGCTTTGACTAATAACTGATGTATGTTGATTTGATGTTGAAATGTAATGAGTGAATGAGCAGTCTAAGAGAGAGGCTGCATGGCTATAAAGGCTGCAGTGTTTGGGAATCACTGGGGCCAGAATCTTCTATTTAGAACAGAAATGAATAGATGAATATTGTAAATAGAAGGCGCTGTCTAGGGCAACTGTGGGCTGGGTATAGGAACAGACTCAGTGGTGGGACGACACCGAGGTTTAGAAAGTATAACGGACTGATCATCTCTCTATAACCCCCCCCCCCCCCCTATAACCCATACACTGTAACTTCAGAAAGGCATAACACACACACACATACACACACCATACATACATACATACTGTACATACATACAGATATACAAACACACTCATACACTGTATTTGGAACTGTGTCCCACTGCTACACCCCCCCCCCCCCCCCCCCCCCCCCCCCCCCCGCTAACTGTAACCCCATGACTGTAGTGGGGTTCTCTCTCTGCAGGACTTTATAAATTGCTGGAATTAAAGGACTATATCATTTCGAACCACTCTTCAGTAATCCTATGGTCTTCTGTGAGTGCCTCTGTCTTTGTGTGTGTGTAATGCCTTTCTGAAGAAACAGTGTAATGTATCACATGGGTATGGGTTATTGAGTGTCCTTGTGATAGAGGTGAGTAGCTCTCTCTCCGACACACACACACACACACACACACACACACACAAACACACACACGCACAGATGTTTGGTGCTGTCATCTGGTTCACAAACAAAGACACACATACACCCTGAGTCATGGTTCTCACAGTCTTATCAGATAACTGTCTAAGTACAATCTATCAGCTCAACACTGAATCTTGGAAGACACATGTTTTTCTGAGTAATTCAACCTCAGTAGACATGGATTTGAATAGTGAAAAAGAAAGTGCTCAATACAAATGTATCAATGTTTTATGTATTAATGTAATTCTACAATAACTACAATAATTAGAATATTACATTTAGGTCCCTCATGTGAAAATATATAAAATCTCCATGAGACATTTGATAAATAATGAATAAAGAGTATAAACTAATTACTGCACCTGATGTTGAGTAATCAGTGTCTAATGTCAATCAGAATAAAAGAATACACACAGTAGTAGAGTGCTCCTCTACAAAACATTGAACTAGAGAGGCAAGACATGTCAGATCTGACAAAGAACACAGAAAAACCTAAACATTGAACTAGACAGGCAAGACATGTCAGATCTGACAAAGAACACAGAAAAACCTAAACATTGAACTAGACAGGCAAGACATGTCAGATCTGACAAAGAACACAGAAAAACCTAAACATTGAACTAGACAGGCAAGACATGTCAGATCTGACAAAGAACACAGAAAAACCTAAACATTGAACTAGACAGGCAAGACATGTCAGATCTGACAAAGAACACAGAAAACCTAAACATTGAACTAGACAGGCAAGACATGTCAGATTTTATTTTATTTTTTTCACCTTTATTTAACCAGGTAAACCAGTTGAGAACAAGTTCTCATTTACAACTGCGACCTGGCCAAGATAAGCAAAGCAGTGCGATAAAAACAACAACACAGAGTTACATATGGGGTAAAACAAACAAAGTCAAAATACAACAGAAATACATATAATATACAGTGTGTGCAAATTTAGCAAGTTATGGAGGTAAGGCAATAAAATAGGCTATAGTGCAAAATAATTACAATTAGTATTAACACTGGAATGATAGATGTGCAGAGATGATGTGCAAATAGAGATACTGGGGTACAAATGAGCAAAATAATAACAATATAGGGATGAGGTAGTTGGGCGGGCTAATTTCAGATGGGCTGTGTACAGGTGCAGTGATCGGTAAGGTGCTCTGACAACTAATGCTTAAAGTTAGTGAGGGAGATAAGTGTCTCCAGCTTCAGAGATTTTTGCAATTTGTTCCAGTCATTGGCAGCAGAGAACTGGAAGGAATTGCGGCCAAAGGAGGTATTGGCTTTGGGGATGACCAGTGAGATATACCCGCTGGAGCGCAGACTACGGGTGTGTGTTGCTATGGTGACCAATGAGCTAAGATAAGGCGGGGATTTGCCTAGCAGTGATTTATAGATGGCCTGGAGCCAGTGGGTTTGGCGATGAATATGTAGTGAGGACCAGCCAACAAGAGCGTACAGGTCACAGTGGTGGGTATTATATGGGGCTTTGGAGACAAAATGGATGGCACTGTGATAGACTACATCCAATTTGCTGAGTAGAGTGTTGGAGGCTATTTTGTCAATGACATCGCCGAAGTCAAGGATCGGTAGGATAGTCAGTTTTACGAGGGC